CAACTAATACCCCCCCCGTCCCCAGTATCACCGGGATGAGGGGAAAAGTCCAGGTTTTCGCGGGGCATTTGTGTTGAGAGGTGGGCCGAAAGAAAGAGTGTTCTTCTATCCCTATCAGGTCCAGTCTGACCCAGTAAAGCCTGGACCTGAAAACATCTAAAAGAAGGTCTTTGGCCTATAGGTAATTTGGGCTGTCCATCTTGGTGAACGCGATTCTTGCTGGTTTCTCTCCACGTTTGGGCCTCCCCTGAACACGCAATCATGTCGTTCCTTATTCACCACTGGTTTGTATATAATTGGTCTCCCATCACTCGAACGTCCAAGCTGAAAAAATAAAGCAACATAAAGCAACGTCATTCTCACGCCGTTCTCCAGTCAAAGCAACGTCATCCAGCAAGCAGTTCTCGGGCTTCAAGTCACGATAAAGCACCTGGCAACGCAAAATCACACACCCAGCACCACCTGGATCCTGCACCTGGGGCCTCAAACCACCAGAAGTTCCATGGAAATACCATGCTTGCCTTAGCCTCTCGCAGCATGCCTTCCTTCTAGCCAAACCGATTCACTAGACATTAACACCTGAGCATTTCTGAGAGACACACTCTGGAGTCGGCTGGACTCACACGTCGAACCACGCCACGATCGTTGGGACGATCGAAACGAACCACGCGGCCCGCGCCCTCTCGAGGGGCCGCGCACCGAAGCACGCCGATCCAAACTCCGAGGGACACGGCGAAGTGAGACACGGCAGTGAGACACGTCAGCTGTCCCGACCCCGACTGGGCTCCAGTCGTACCGAGGTGGGACTGGGGTGGGTGCCAGGAGGGTCCAGTCATACCGAACCTGAGGAGGTACAACTGGAGCTACAGCAGCATGTTTGGAACAATGGACATTCCGGCTGTGTGTTGATGTATAAAAACATTGATGCTGACTCATTTGATGCTCATTTGATGGTCAATTCAGCAGTCTACTTAGAACGACTTCGTTACAGTTACGACTTGGGACTTTTCGATGCACGGACCCATGTATGCCACCGTGCGTGCTGGGTCCCGGAACCGGGTCCGGAAACCAGGTCGATCCGACCCGCCGGTGGCAGTGAGGGCGGTGGAGTTGCTGCAAAAAGGACGGGGAAGCACAGCCACCCCCAGAACTCAAAACCTAAATAGAATGGTTCAAAACCTATAAATTCAATTCGCCATTTGCGAACTGAGCCAGGGGTCTTGAGGGGGGCGTATGAGGTCACAAGTTCTGAGGTGAAGACGAAGAGTTACTTCTGTAGCCTATCGAGTTCTGAGGACTGCACGTTGTGCGAAACAAAAAGCGACCAAGTTCCAAACTGGGCAGAGTCCAATCAAAGCTCTGTAGTTGGTTCAATGCCTATGGCCTAGCCGCCTAGCCCCACAACAGAAGGGCATGTTTTTTTGCAATTATGCCTTTGGGATCCTAAGGCAGGCCAACCAGGCCTGCTGAGAATGCAAGTACTCCAAGCCAAGCAAGATCTCAGAGAAATAGAACTTGCCGTCCGGCTCCTGCACATCATTTTCTGCTGATGGTTCAAGAACATGTATAATTTGACTCCTTCAGTTTCCCTGAAGAAAAGGATGAGTTTCATTGATTTTCCTGTGGTTCTTCTGTAGTCGGGTGTCCCCAATCCCTCCAAAGAGTAAACACTGACAACACACGTTCCACAAAGTCTACCTTTGGAGTCTCCAGAGCTCGCTGCCCCCCTCGACCGGTCGACATCGATATCCAACGTCGTGACCTCGCTACACCGTCGCCGAACAATCCCCCTCCGCCTCGAAGCGACCCCGGTGGAGCATGTGGAAGAAGAGCTCCCCGCCGCCGCAAAAGTCTAAGACCTGCCGGTCGAGCAGACGACACGGACGGGCGAGAAAGACGGGCTGCCGGTTCCAAGAAACCCAGAGGGGCGGTTCCGCGGCTGCCGTTTGGTGCGGTTCGATTCGGCCCCGCTCACCAGTCAACCAGTCGAACAGCGCCGGAACACCGAGAGCCGGAGCAATGGACCGACTCAGTCGGTCCAACACGGCGGTTGAGGCCCAACTGAAGAGCTGGAAGGATGAAGCGTCTGGTGTCGGTGAAACGGTTTGCAAGTTGATCACATTTTACGCATATGAAAATGAATATATGAAATGAGAGATTCGTAATTAAAAAAAAAAAAAACTCTCTGGAGTTCATGTCATTTTGCTTTCGTTTGTGTTCATTCTGTATTGTTGGCTTGAGCTTTCTGGGTGGGTTTGGGGGGTCTGAATTTCATAAATATGGATCCTGACCATTATTACAATGTATTAATAAATACAAATGTAAAACAAAATAAACTTCATCTATACATTTTTTTCTGACGAGCTAATATGAATACAGACCTGACCTCATCTTTTATATATTACGAATTACACATTATTACCGAATGAAACCCACAGAAAAACGAAATATGATATGATATAGTACTATGGTCCTTCTTTTTGGAGAAACAAAGCTGCTAAGCAGCGTTTGGAAAAACTTTGAACATTTTTGGGAGCTTCGCCACGTCGCTGCGACGTGGCTGTTCACCAGGCGGTCCTGTAGATGTGCTCAAGTTCACCCAGCGAAACACCCAGCGACACAGTTCAGCCAAACAAGGCGGACGGCCTACAGGAGCAAAGGGCATCGCTACTAGGAGCAAGGATGCTACTAGGGGCTCCTGGCCTTACTACTAAGAGCAAGGACGCTACATAATTACCTAGATAACGATACATATCCTGTTGTCGATACGCCAATTTGTCTCTGACTCAGCTGGTTGCGGATATGACAAGTGGATACTAATGGATGGTATATCTCCACAACCAGTTGGCTCAGGTACCCAACTAGCCTACCCTCAACATGCCAAATGGTGTGGAAGGAAAACGTCACCACGGGTTCTCTTCAGACAGCTAAACTGCAGGCTCACAAAGCTCTCTCTGTCCAAATGAAGCTGTGCATCAAAAAGGGAAGCATCCACTGGCCATGGACGGTTACTCAGGCTGTTTAGGTTGATACAGGTCTGCAATTGATTTACTCAGACAGTTTCTCAAGTGTGATGTGTGTGTGCAGCTGTTGGATTGGACACTGAGGGTGGGAGAACAACCCGCCTTCGAAGCTCAATGGATGGGTGTTCAAACTGACACATCACCCAAAGAACAGTCCAAAACATGAGCGAGAGAGAGAGAGAGCAGGTAAGTAATTGTGTGTGTTCGCAATCGGTTCACCCACCCCAAAATCTTCATTGACGATGATTTGCCTAGCCGCAGCTTGTGCGTTTTCAACCCCATGCCTCATCCCACCGTCCTTGCCCATCCCATGCTTCTTGGGCCCGGACCAAGAAGAGATGCGTCGTAGTCTGAAAGGCCCAATGTAAGGACACCACAAAGGGATGCCTCACCACATGCCCGTTCCGCTGGCGCAACCACTGTGGAGACGCTGCGGGAGACCACGCGCGGCGCGGATAGCTCCGTGGGTGCACAAATTGCCCAACCGTTACAGGGTAACGCAACGGTGCATGGCCGCCTGGAGGTGGAAGGTGGAAGGTGTCAGAATGGAGCGATAAATCTCTAGGGCTCCAACTCCAACTACCTCCTGAGAGATGGTTGGGGTGGCACCTGAGGAGATGGTTTGAGCTCTACAAAAGAAAATCCTAGAAACAAACGTCAATGGAGTGCCAACGTCAATGAAGCGCCAGCATCGCGCACTGGTCTATTCATATAGTGCGACAGTTACACCCGATGACCTTGAGGGAAAATGGAGCTTTGTCGGGCGTTGTGTGGTGCTGAAGTCAGTGCTATGCATTGCACTAGACTGATCATTCTTGGTCGCCGATCTAAAAGTTCGCCCAGTTCTAAAAGCTCGACACTTTCATGGGCCGCCGATCGCCACTGCATCACCCCAATTTCGACCAAATGGGACCCAAAGTCGGCGCTTCCTACTGATGGGCGGATGGTCGGCTTCTACGACTTACTAGGGTCCAAGTGGAATCAATGATGTTTTCTATTTGCAGCTCTAGATCACCCAAGTAGTGATCATTTTGCATCACTCTCTTGCTTTACTGGGACACGCCCGTCTGCGGTCTGACGTCCCCATACCCCCAAGCACGCCACTGCAGCCGTGCGAGGATCCGCTTCTCGGTGATGACCTGAACTGGTACAGCCAGTGACGCGTGTTCGGAGCAAGGCGCTTTCTGGAAGAACCGGCTTGGCTTTGCGTGTTGGTTGGGGTGTCTTGCGGTGAGGTGTCTTGGGGTGAACTCCATGGAGCTACTCCACAGCAAAACTTGGATTTTGTTCCACCAAAAGTGCTGATATGAATGTTCTCTACAATCATATCACATGTATTAAATATATTGATTGTCTTGGTTTATATATTGATTTATTACATTACTTGCACTCCTTGACCAAATAACAGAGCTTGGTGCCGCATCATGTAGATTTCAACAGGTGACCTCTCACATCCTCCCTGCTAAAAACCTCTACAGTAGTGGAGCATAAAATTTTGACCCAGAACCCCCTCCTTAGAAGTGCACATCCTTTCCCAGCAAACATCCATTCCTGCTTGGCTCTTCACAGAGAAAATGACCGTTCGATCTTCTTCGGTTCCTTTTCCAAGTTCTGATCCAAGGAATCAGGTGAAGCGAGGAAAAATGCTGCATCTTCTGCTGACCCCTCCTGACTCATCTGCAAAAGGGGAAAAGGCCCAGTCGAGTACTGACTCGACTGGGGGTTCGAAAATGGGGAGTCGAAACAAAGACATTGTCGGTCGCTCCCGGTCCCCAATTAATGCACTGAATCATGCGCCTCAAGATACACTATTGAATCCGGATTGGCTCCGCCTAAGAGGCATCAAGATGTACATCAAAATACATACATCATATTCTTTGGGCAAATTGTGGGCATTTCTGCATTTCTTGCATGAAGTTTGACATGGGTCAAAACCACATACCGTCAGCTACCGCTAGTGACTAGTGAACACAGCTTCAAAAACGAATGACCACCTTGAAAGAGAGGTTTCTATAGTACGTCCATTCTCGTTTCAAGCATCGAAGTAGGCCCTTCCCTGTTGCCCACATTGTCTGGACAGCCCGTCCGGGAGTCCGGCACGGCGTCCCGGACGAAGTGTCTCAACGGTTCCACCGGAGACAACACCCACCGGAAAAACGCCAACAGGCGTACATAGCGAGTGTTCAAGCATCCTCTCCGTCGTCTCCTTTGCTTCTTCCAACCTACGCCAAAGCTCATCAGGGCAAATGAAACATACATCCCGGAAAGTGAACACGACCTTGGAAGAGCTAGGAAAGAATTTGCTTAATGAACAAACATCTCCAAGCAACGATCTCCTGAAATTTCCTTGGATGCCGCTTTGCGCCCCACATGAACTGCTGCACATGCCAGCTGTTCATCTCATGCTCTAGACGCCCAGGGGGCAAAGGAACATTCCGGGGAGTACGATCGTCTCGCCATTCAAACGACCTGGCAACGGCCAACTGTGCGCCGGTGACTGGGTCGTCACTGGGTCGTCGTCACCTGTGGTCTTCTTGAAACGACGCCCAGTGGTGACTCTTTGGAACCCCAGAAGCCCTTGAGCCAGCTCAGTCACTTCGCTTTTTCCTGTTTCATCAAAGAAAAACCTGAAGGTGGGAGCCGGAGGAAGAAACATGTATGGAGGTGAAGTAGATCTTTCTTTTGGGGGTCCCCCCTAAAAAGGAGGGCTTCGGGGCTTCTCTTTGTGGATCCAGAACGAAAGGAGTGCCCAAAGCTTTCAGAACTTGACTTGGGTGTTTGGAGGATCCACTCTTCGGGTGCAAAAATGGATGAAAATCCTAGAATCCACAAGAAATTATGTCTCACAAAAGGAAGTGATACTATCAAGAACCTTCCTCAACAAAAATTGAAGATCTAGAACCATCTTCTCTTGGAAGATGAGAACTCGAAAACAAAGTCTGTCCCACAGCTCCTCCATGCCACAGGAGTTGATACTATCCCACCATGAAGCATGCATCACATTTTATTCCCTGAATGCTGCGAACCTGAAGGTAACAAGCTTCTCCTCATCAAGCTCGTCCTTCCGAAGGACCTCCTCGATTGAGCAGCTTCCAAAGTCCACCTCTGCACCTAAGGAGTCTTCATCCTCATTTTCATCTGGGCAATCATTGGAGAGAACCACAGGAAGAGTGCTGGTCCTAGTTGCTTCGCTTGGACCTTTCGATGGGAGAACCGCGCTGTGGTCATGGCTCTCCTGGGAGTTCATCACTCTCTGTGCACTCGCAGTGGCACTTGCTGCACAACCCATGGCATGCAGGTGTTCAAATAGTGACAACAAAAAGCTGCACACAGCACCTTGAGTGCTTGAGTCAATCGAAACTCCGCAAGTGCTTCGGAGATTGAGATGCGGCTGGTCAGAGCGACCGGCAAAACTAGGGGCCCCCTGAGTGGAAGTTTTAAGGCAGGTATCGTTTTGGGGATTGTTATCGTTTTTTCAATTCTTTGCTCATTTGTTTTCGGGGAAGGTGTCGTCCACCTGTCAATTGCAATTGGTAGTGGTAGTATGTGTGTGTAAGTGGTAGTGGTAGTAGAAGTAGTAGCAGCAGCAGCAGTAGTAGTAGTCGTGGTGGTGGTGGTGGTAGTGGAGGTAGTGGTGATAGTAGTAGCAGCAGAAGTCGAAGTAGTGGCAGTAGTAGTAGATTGTAAGTGGGCAGGTGGTTTGCAAGGGCATACAGACCTGTGAAGTGGGTATCGTTTGGTGTCGTTTTTGGTATCGGTCTAAACCCATAATTAATTGTTTCCCATCGAAGCAAGAGCAAAAAACAAAATGGAATGTCCAACTAGCATGGCAAACCATATGCAAAGAATACCTTGGACATACGCTGTGTCGAGTGTCAACAGTGTTAATAGGCAAAGATAGATTCCAAGATGTGTACCGTCACAAGGCCAGGTATCGTTTTTGGGTTGGATATCGCTTGTTCAAGGAAAAGTCAAGTTTCCTGTGTTTGAACAAACGTGAGCGCTGACCTTTAGCACTTTGTGCTTTTCTCATAGCCATCAAATCGCAAACAAGTGCTGCAACCTGCGGACTTAACTCCTCCCAAAACTAACATGCTGAGGCCCATTAAGAACCATATAGTTAGAACTATATAATTGTGATGTTATTATATACTAACTACATTATATGCATTCATATAATATACTCATATAATATAATACAGTACTATAAACATCAATCTGCCATGATTCTTCACCGGTCACCGGTCGTTGCCCTCACCCGTTCGACAGCCGGGCTGGTGCGTCCCACCCGCTGGAGTCGTTGCTCTTGTTGAAAGAGTCGCTCCTCACATCGGCGGAACGCCGGCGTTCCGGAGTCTGGAAGAGTGGCGAACGGAGCATGTTTGGAGTGGTTCTTTTGGTCCCAGTGGTATAAAACAACAAGAAACTCAACCCTACACGGACACTCCAAAATCAGTGGCTTGGATTGGAACCAACGGCGTGGAACCAACTAAACCAAACACGGGTCTGTCACTGTCTCCAAGTCACATCGACTCTGCCTGAGGAAAAACACCCTGCCTGACTTCCTGTGTTCCAGGAAAAGCAATGAGGTTAATGTTGTTTTCCGCCTGTTTGTGTTTAGTGGGACAAGTCCCCCCCCAAATCATGTAGCTTAAAGGTGAATAACTGGGTAGGCTTCAGTCATTCCACACTTTTCTGGTGGCTTTTTGTGTGTCTGACCCTCAAAAGCAGGGCGATTGGATCTGCGCCTTGCTCATGACCTTCACCGCACGGTACTGACCCGTTGGCTTGTGCCGTGCCTGGAAGCGAAGAAATGGGATGATGGAGTTTGGGGATGAGATGCTGATGATCAGCTCAGTATGCCCAGCTCCCCATCCTAGATCAGCTCAGGATGATAGAGGTGATCCAGGTCCAGTATAATCCTCTGATGATCGGAGGAGAGGATTTCTCAGATCTTCGGTGTAGGATCCCTGTCGGCAAGCCGTTGCTTCGTTGCTGATGATCGGTTGACTCCGTCATAGGCAAAGGAACAAAGCTGCACTGTTCCTATACCGGATGAATGGGAATCACCGTACCGTGAGTCATTTTAGAGGAGCTTTGTTTCTTGGACAATCAACGTGTCAAGTACATCAGTCAGACCGGGGAAAATTCTTTCCAAGACCATGATCCGTTAGTCTCCTTCCCGTCTTTTGTTGCTATATGTTGCTATTCATACTCCAATACCATCCCATACCCATTGATCCAGAAGTCTTAGGGCACGAAATGCATGCTTCTGGCTCTCAATCCATGGATGGAGCAACATCAAGCAACCATCTTAGATGAGCCATGCAGAAAAGAACAATTGCGTGAAACGATTCCCCACAAGCCCCTAGGTATCTACGTGCGTCCTGAATGTGTTTGGAGGGACAGTGCCCATGAGTTCGGCGCAATGTGAGTGCTTCAAACTAGCGACATCACAGAGTCTCTATATATTTGGAACACCGGGAGCTTATAACACAAAAAAAATACGAAAAAACATCCATCTCTTTGCAACAAACGATGAAAACACCATTTTTCTAGTGGTTCCTTCATGTTCCTTCCACTCTTCGCAAGGCGGCGCGATGGAAAAAAAAGAAACACACGCGGCAAGCCGCCCACGCGGAGCACCGCGGAGCACCGCGGAGCACCGCGGAGCACCTGTAGCACACGGCCAGATCCGCCCACCTGGGTGGTGAACACCACCGGTCGCAACACGGTGGATGTGGGTGATGGGTGGGGTTTTTTGGGCGGGATGGGGGACAAAAAGGTCCGTGAAACGAAGCATGTTCAACACCTAGGTGATCCATCCAAAACCTTTACATTGAGAGGTGTGAAGCAACTAAAGTTCACCTGAGAAGGTGAGAAGGGCGTCGTGTGTATGCCATAGCCTTCTGGCTGGTTGCGTTCGACTTACCTTCCGTGGATCCAAAGCGGTCTCCAAAACAGTGCACGCCGCGCTGCTCCCACCACGCGGACAATCTCGAAATCCTGCGCAGTGTCGACCAAGTGGCCAGGTGGCAGGGTCAGGGTCGCAGAATTCACAGGTCAGGTGTGATTTTGGTGTTTGGGGAACTAACCACACCAGGAAGCAGTGGATTACCAGGCTCAGGGTATATGAAGGATTGAATTTGGTGAGTCCCTTAATATTGGAAACATGCAGAGCGTTTCCGTTTGAGACATCTTCTATGCATTGAACATCAAGTTTGAGAACGGTTCCCAAAATACTCAAAGCGCGACCAAAGCACATCTGCCTCTTCAACAACTTGTCCGAAAGTTCAAGGAAAGGACTTCTATCTACTGTGCCCATCAGCTGTCCTCACATGATGCCTCAAATGCAAACTTGTTGCTAGTGGTCTGGCCAGTCAGTCTCTGATCTCGATCAAAATCCATCGATCGACTGCAGTGCAGCCGTTTCACATCCGTCGCACGTCGCAACATGTCACCCGACAGCCCAACAGGTCAAGATTCAGGGTGTGAACAAAAGCACCTTTCGACCACATCTGTCAGTCTCTCCAAAATCATCCTCCATGCCACATCCCATCGCACCTGTCCCAAACAGCTGATGACATCGTTCGCCACATCGGTCGACGCAGCCCACGCGCGACGCGCTCGCCACGCGCCGTTCCTCGATGGTGCGGCCGCGGGAGACTTCTTGGAAGCCGCGCCCCGCAGGGGACGAGGCCACCTGACACCACCATGAGGGGACGATTCACCTGGTCTTTCCCGGTCGGGGAACAGCCAGCTGCAGTCAGCGGATGGTGAGGGTGGGGTATCCTCCATGTTATGCCACCCCTGTGTCATACCTGGTGAACAGAGTATTGGAATATTGCAAGGTTTCAGAAGCATTTTATGCAAAAAACATATCTTTAGAATGGGATGTCGGGATGTCCAATCTCGGCTTTGTAAATGCCAAACCACGTTAAATCCATAAAATGAGGATTTAAACCTTGAGCAACCCAACAAAAACTGGCAAGTAGGTCTATGAAATGACTGGGTCAACATATATGATTTTAAAAAATTATATGTGGTGTGATATCTTTTCTTTGATGGCTTATGACCTCTGACCCAGGATGACCTGTTTGAATATGACCACTCTACAGGATGCCATGTTGATGCAGGGTACCCTCACACAAGAATGGGTCCCTGAGCGGTATCTGGTTTCACGTTGCGGTCTACATACTGCTGCACTCCCTTTCATGTCAAAAAAAGGCTTAGCTCAAGTAACTAAGAAAGGAATAGAAAGGACTGAATGTCAGCATGTCTCTGCTACAAATGTTCGATTGTGATCAAAAGTACCAACATCTGGCATCCCACAAAAGAGCCAGGTTGAGACATACCCATGCGGTCAAGTCATGGTCTCACCTGGTTTTACTTGATTCATGTTTTGCAAATGGACGCCTAATGAAGATCGACTGAGATCAAGTCAGACTGTCTCGCCTGATGATCGATTCCACCGCCCTTTCTGCAAATGCAAATCCGCCCACCTGCAAACTCTTCGCGATGGTGCCTTCGCTGTGCACCTGACGGTTTCTTTGGCGCTTTTTTCGGCATGCTCGAAGGCATCTGACGGCTTCCTTCGGGTGGTTGGATTCCTTCTAGGGTGGGGACTCGGTGCTTCGAACCGAAGGAAACTCAGCAGGACCAAACTCAGCAGACCAACTTCGCTCAGGGGCGGTGCCACCGGTCGAGGTGCCACCGACGTCGGTATCGTCGGTGTCAGAAGCGGGGGGCATGTGTCGTCGGTGCCGGGGGTGGAACAACGAGGACATCTTCCTGTCTGGTTCCCCGGGAGTCTTGGAGTCTTTCCTCTCTTGAGACATTTTCTATACTAATGAGACAAGAATGATGTGGAACTGCCAGGGAAAAACTTAGAATGACGTGCAATGTGGAACTGACAAGAATGATGTGTTCCTCCCTTGGGATTTACTAATGAACTGCAAGTTGAAGAAGAAGTCCCGGTCTGTCAACGAGTGAGGATGAAATAGAGTAAGTCGAGCACCGCTGATGCCTAGAATTCTGATGGCGACAAGAACCGAGCAGCACGAAAAGGGCCAGCTGATGCCCATCCCGGTGAAGCACCAAACATGGGGGGCGAAAATCAACAAAGCAAATCCGGTGGAGAAGGTCCTCCCCATCGTCACGGGGGCGGGACGCCCCCCAGGGGCGCCTCCACAGACGACCCCGTCAAAAAAAATGTTTCCCCTCTCCGCTCCAAACACTCGTTGAGACCGAACAAGAACAAATGAATGACCTGACTTTGAGGGATTGTACTGAGCTTGCGTGTGTATGTGTGTAACTGTATACACATGTTTAAACCTGCTGTGTTTGTAATACTAAAACTACCTAACTTCGAGTGATCCCCACCATGACATTTCAAAACAGCCACGTTGACATCACCCTCGTTGTGTATTTCAGCCCATAGCACAAGTCCTTCAGCGCCAAGTCTTACTGCTTTGTCCGAAGCGAATGCTTTCATCAGGAGACCTGTGCCCAACTAACAATACAACTCAGATCATTTCACCTGGGAAACTTCCAGGGCCCGAGCAGTAGTAGTAGTAGTAGTAGTAGTAGTAGTAGTGGTAGTAGTAGTAGTAGTAGTAGAAGTCGTGGTGGTAGTAGTAGTAGAAGTCGTGGTGGTAGTAGTAGTAGTAGTAGTGGTAGTAGTAGTAGTAGTGGTAGGAGTAGTGGTAGTAGTAGTAGTAGTAGTAGTAGCAGTAGTAGTAGTAGTAGTGGTAGTAGTAGTAGTAGTGGTACTGGTAGTGGTAGTGGTATAGTCGTAGTAGTAGTAGTAGTAGTAGTAGTCGTAGTAGTAGTAGTGCGGTGGTAGTAGCAATAGTAGTGCACAGTTCGGGGCCCGACCTTCACGGCCCGAACCTTGGAAACGTCCGGGGCCCTAGTATAGTAGTAGTAGTCGTCGTCGTAGTAGTAGTTTAGTAGTAGTAGTTGTTGTAGTAGTAATAGTAATAATAGTAATAGTAGTAGTGGTAGTGGTGGTGGTAGTGGTAGTGGTAGTAATAGTTGCTGTTGGACACAGTTCGGGGCCCGAGCT